ACACAGCGGGCCGCTACATGCCGCTACGCTGTAGCCACAAATGAAAATGTAGTCCAATGCACAGAGCAGGCATGAGCTACTGCAGTCGACGCCAAGCGACACGATTGGACACATCGAAACGCTCTACTAGTTGGAGAATCAAGAGATCTGGAGAATCACAGATCATTGGATTGGTCATGTCAATATCGGCTATGCTATTTGCTAGACACTCGGTCCACGGATGTATCCGGGGGCATTGGAAGGCTATCTGCGACGCATGCGCGCGTACAAAGGGCGGGGTGAAAGCCGCGCGACCGCGCCCGTGCGCGCCGCCTTTACAGCTGACCCGTGAGCTAGCTGGCTAGGCCAAGAAGTAAGTTGGTGGCGAGTCTCAAAGTGATTTAATTATTATAGATGATATTCTTTGTCGAACACCATCTGTTACAACTGGACACTTCCAAGGCAAATCCTGATGCTACTGACTCAGTTCCTCGCATCTCTTTTATAGCCTTGCAACCACCGCATGAGGTGCATACATAGAAACCCCACTGTATCTACCTATGAGTCGTACATGCTCCATAAACCTATACGGATAGTCTGTTTGGGTAGTATATTACAGAGGGTGCTGACTATATACTAGATTGCCTTTTCATTAGTAAGGCATGCGCCTCCCTGTTTTGAGGTTTTAGTTGTGTGGGTGTTTCAAATGTAGTTTCCCACTATTATCTTGGCCAGACATCAAACCTCAACATTTGGCTCTCCTCGTTGACTAATGATTGGTAGATTGGCTTGCATCCTCCTACAACTATAACAACCCCCCCCCCTAGATCAGTCACACTGCATTTGGTTCTTATCCAGTAAAAGTTACGGTGAGTGGAAGAGAGCTAATCTCAGTGGTCTGAACTCCACACTGCAGTTCCAAGTTCCTGGCCCCACTCCCAGAAATTCCCTGATAAGGGATTGTGTAACATTATGCACTCACCTTACCTCACCAGAATCTTGGTATATAGCTATTTATCCTACAGTTGGCTTGTCTATCTCATGTATAGCTATTATAATTCTGTCAAAGAAAGAGCCGGCCAATGCATTTATGTGGATATGATTCCATTTCCCCCATATTATGTTGACCCAGGCCACGTGCACCTGCTAGGTTTATGTGTGTGCCATGTGCTACATACATAAATAGTATTCCCAGTTCCCTGCCAGGTTGGTGGATTACAGCACTTGTAGTGGGACTTCTCTGGAACGAGGGAGGGGGAGTGGATGGCACAGTGCCAAACAGGCAAACCGAACTGTTTGTGGGCTACTAAAGTACACAGAAAGCATCGCGTATATACGTCTTGCATGCAGCAGCATTAAAGAGTATACTATAAGCCACTACGCTCTTGGACAAGGCTACTGTATATAGTCTAAGGAATAATTATAGTGAAAGGATACTCAAAACTAAAACAGCAGAGCTAGCGTCCAGACTTGTTTATCCTGGGTAATGCTTGGGGGTGAAAAATATTATTAGTAGGGACCTGAAAGGTTGGCCGAGGGAATGTGAATCCTCTGCCAGAGTACACTACAAAACGCTTCTTAAGTTTTAGGGCATTTTCTGGCTCAGTTTATGGCATTTTATGGCTAAGTGTATGTCAGTACAAGTGCACAGAAATACGTGATGTACAGAATACTTGTGCTATGTTTGTGGGTTTTCTGTACATCACATATTTTTGTGCACTTGTACTGGTGTAAACTTAGCCAGAAAATGCTATAAAAGAAAATGCTATAAAACTTAAAGCGTTTTTGTAGTGGTAGCTACAGGAGGACATGATGCACTACAACCTGGGTAATCCCTCTTCCTGGGAAATCTTTTAATGCACTAGAGTGAGAGGATGGCCAAGAGAATGTGAGTCATCTGCATGCCAGAGTAGGACATCATGCTCTATTCCAGGAATTCTGGGATCACATCCTGCAACTCATCTGACAGCCAAAAGCTGTAGCTAGCTAACTATTATATAACAACATGCTGAAACACATATCATGACTTGTATGCTATCGTGTTTCCTTGATCATGAAGCGAATACAGGCCTGCCCTATGTGCTGTATAGAGCAGTGGTTAACCTAGAATTGCATGGCAGGGATCAACAAATAAACACAGGCTGAATGTACATGCACATGGTCTATTGTTACATGTGTATGCGCTGGCAGGATATGGGTGCTTGCTGGCACATGGTCTATTGTTACATGTGTATGCGCTGGCAGGATATGGGTGCTTGCTGGCTTCATTGCGCGAACCACTACAGTGCTGCGTGCTCGACTGCAAACGCCTTGTGGGGATGAATCTCATTAGTTCAGAACCACAAGTGCTGCGCCTGAGCAAAGCCTTGTGGGGATGAATCTCATTAGTTCAAAACCACAGGTGCTGCGCTCAACTCTGCCTTTATAAACTCGTGATGCCAGAGAGAGAAGTTGCGGTATGCTTTGCTGATGAGGGCTAACAAGCCCGAAACAGCTGTCCAGGGCTCCGCATCTTTTTTCTCTTGGCATCACATGGTCTATTGTTACATGCAACAGTGTGCTCTAGCAAAATGGTTGTCACGTGCCCAGACCCTCTAGGGCACGTGAGGGTCGGAGCACGAGACTAGCAAAATGGATGCTCCCCAAAATTGAGAAAGCAAAACAAAATGTTAGGTAGTTTAACCCTCGGCGCGCATGCGCAGCGAGGGTTACGGTAGTTAGCTGTGTGTGTGTGTGTGTGTGTCGACATTCTGGCACTACAGGCTACGAGGCGGCCCATTAGCGGCTTATGAACTGCGCGAGCCTGAAAAGTAAAAGGGGGGTTAACCTGAAATGACTGCGTTCGAGAGCGACAAACTGGCACTCTCCGCGAGCTACTAGCGCGCCCGGCCCATCCATTAGAGGTACCGCGCATGCGCAGTTCGCCGAGGGTTTTCATTAGTATGACGGTTTCATTTTCGAACTGACATTGCTTCCTTGTGTAAAATATCCCCCACACAAGCCCTATATTGTCGCCACCCTTTACTGTTTGTTTATTGAAGTGCGAGGACAATGGAGAAAGGATTCTGTATGTAGATGGCCAAGAACGCAGCATCGTAAAACTGGAGCAAATGTAGAAGTCTTAGACTTCACACAATGCAGTCACAACTGAAAACCGAGTAGATGGTATTACCTGTCTAATGTGCTTCTGAAATAGGTAAATCATAGCTGTGCATCATACAAGGGAGCACACTCGTACTTCGCGACAATATAGGGCTTGTGTGGAGGAAATGTTAACAGCAAATTGACAAGCACACATCTGTGAATGTACCTAAACAACCTCAGAGGTAGTTATCTACTAAATCTAATCTATATACTACTATCTAAAGACTATCTCTAGCAAGTAAATGTAAGACCAAATTCAGCACGCATACTTTTCGACGCCACTTTCCAATAGTGATCAGGACAAGTCACTGGTTTTCAGGAATGGCATCATAAAGAGTGTCTTCCTCTGTTTCAGGGATAGGAGGGGGAAGGATTAGAGGGAGGGGCTGGCTGGGGGCCGAGGCAGAGGATAAGGGAACCTCATATATCTCCTCCAGTTCAGCTGGAGGAGGTGGAGGTTCTCCGTGAGAGAAGTCCACCAATTCATATTCCTGTTCTCGTTCCACCTTCCCATATGCCGTGTTGGTTGAGGTGTGAATAACACCACTTTCAGTGACTGCTGACCTGCATTCAATTTGAACACATCAAGTGACTTTTTCATGCTTCACACCGCCAATAGCTCGAAAACCTGCATTCATAATTATAACATTCAGCAACTTACGCTTCGTTTGAACTCCTCAGTGAAGCCCCTCCACGACGTTCCTTTAGGACTAGAAAAACGATCGTTATGACAGCAATAGTAATAGCAACGATAAGAACAACTGCCACGATTCCTCCAATTATAGCATCGTAAACCTGTGCAGGTTCTTCATCACTGCTTCTCTCAACAGGAGGCATGTCAGTGGAAGGAGATGAAGTGGCAGTAGGAGTGGAAGAAGGAGAGCACTGTGGTGGCTGACTGAGAGAAGAAATAGCCACTGAGCAGTGGGAGTCCAGGGTCATCAGTACTCCAGTCAGGATGAGGCTGGCCCCACCTCCTCTCACCCAGGCCTCTATCAGAGAGACGAGGGAGCCACTGTCTGTCTCAGAGGTCCCCTCCAGTCTGGCTCGATACATCAGAAACGACGGAGACTCTAGATAGCAGACAAATAGCTGGTTGTCTATCATTTCTGGCCCACACTCTGAGCAAGATGACTTCAACTCCTTCACTACTGCAGCAGTAATGTGCTCCAGTTTCAGGGATCTCTCTGAACTCTGTGACAAAGAAAGAAGAGTCTTGTAGAAAGAACAAAACATAGGAAAGAAACTTACAATTTCTTCAAACAAGAAGTAGGGAACTTTACCCAAACGGAGTTGAAAGAAGGAATCTGTGGTTTGAAAGCCATACCTACTATACATCCTGAAACTAATATGAACTGAATTTACAGTCTTGTTGAGTGGTGAATGAGGTGTTGGCAGGAGGTCCAGAGCCCTGTGTGTTACTGGCCACTAGAGAACAGGAGTAGTGGGTGTTGGGAGAGAAGCCAGCCACTGTTTGAGGTCCAGACTGGGAGGTGGGGGAGTGAGGGAGGGAGGAGGGGGAGGGGGAACAGGAGAGGGTGTAACTGGTTATGACTCCATTACGCTCGGTGAGAGGTGGAGGAGACCAGGAGAACACAACTTCTCTCTCTCCTGGGACTACCTCTATCTTAGGAGATCCCGATGGAGCTGAGAAAGAATGTGAGGAAATAAGAAACTTAAACACATTTTTAAATATTACAGGTTCTTGGCACAGGTAGTGCATCAACTTATTCTGTTAAGGAACTGATGGGTTTAAGAATGGGTGATGTCACAATCAAAACTGAACCCACATACAAGGGCTCATGACTGAGTGTGGGGAAAAGGAAGTCTAATGTGTTACGTTATTGCAGAGTGTTGCACGAGTTAGAGACACAAGTTTTGTTAGGTTGCATTATAATACATACCAGTTTCATTGGTGTATAGGGTGAGAGAGACGGGGAGAGAGGATCCACGTTGGGAGATGGTGGAGATGCTGCAGTTGTAGCGGACTCCAGAGAAGAAGCCAGACAGGGTGGCCGAGGACCGGGTTGGTGCTAACAGGGGGAGAGACTGGGGGGATGGGATCCCACTCAGGAGAGGGACACATGTCAGGTTGTAGCCAGTGGTGAGGTGAGCTCCAATACTGGGCTGGCGCCAGGAGAATGTGAGAGAGGTGTCCGATGTACTTCTTACTTCAAAGGCTTCAACTGGGTATGCAACTGCATCTGTTAAAAAAAGCTTTTTTTCATCCAACTGCCTTGTGCACAATAATGGAATTATTACAAGACAGATACGGATGGCCCAAGTCAAATCTCATGTGATCCCCGCATACAAAAAGCTTCAAAACTCAGTGAGAATGACACGCCAGACCTTCAAAACACACTATCAACAGTGGGTCAGAAGTTCCTTCAGTTATCCACGCAAGACTTCGCTAATGCACAATTTCCATGCCATCATCACGATCTTCATCTTCTTCAGTAACCCGCCATCTCCTTACCGGAACCAGTTGAAGTGGTTCAGGTAGGAGAAGGCAGAAAACATTATCTTGTGAATTGAGCCACATCTGTAGCAGTGATAAAGTTGCTTACATCTTACTGCTGACAGGTATAGGGGATGTGGAAATTGAAATGGTTCCATTTTCTGCTGCTGGAGATCTTAGCCTGCCGCTGACAGTGGTAGAGAGTCAGCATGGGAAAGGACCAGAGAGGAGAATAGAGAGTGTGGAGATGGTAGTTGTATCATTCACCACAGTCTCAGTCACAGTGACACCATTCCTGCAGACCACAGGACCAGAGACGTTCATCCACACAGCAGAAGGAGTGTTAGTAAGTCCTGCAGTTGTCACATGGACTCTACATGTCAGAGTGGGACCAGGCTCTCCAACTGAGTGGTGAACCAACATCAGTCACACTGGCCGTGACTGTGGACAGGGTTGTCAGCACTGGATGAGTGAGAGAAATGTTAACAAACACATCATTTTTCCGACATTTAGTACATTTCACTTACCAATGTAGCAGTTTCTCTGTAGCTATCAGCACCAACCACAGCAGTTGCAGGTGTACTGTCTTTCCATGTAGGTCGTCTGTTACTAGAGGAATGTATACTCCAACAGTGTGGAGATTGTCCAACTACTGCTACTGGCCAGCACAGACGACTCGTTCCTCATTCCAATGGAGAAGAAGAAGAAGATACTATCAGTTGGTTCTAAGCTGATGGTTCCTGACTGCCCCACAGTGAGACTATCCACTAATGCCTGTTTGATGGTAATGAAAATGAAACATGAAAAATGAAGTGATAACGTCACCGAGAGCCACTACCACACAGAGTAGATCCCAGATCATTGGAGAACTGTGCAGTTGTAGGTACCAGCAGCTCCTCAGGACTAACTGTCAGGACATTGGAGTAGGTGGAGGCACTTGCGGTCAATGACAGTCTGAGAAATTGGTAACGCAGACGTAAGAGGTGCTCCGTGCTGTTGTCCAGGAGAAATTCGATGGCTAGGAGAGCCTAGCAGATCACGGGAGCCACACATTGTGAGGGTGTTATGACTATCTATAGCACCCTCGTGGTAGTAGTGAGATTAATGATGGTGAGGAGTACTGTCACTGCTATGGGAGGAGAAGAGATGAAAGTTTGTGAGAACAAAAACTGCAACGGATCACATTGAAGCCAGTGGATACACAGTCCCACATGTGATGGGATATGTCATTTCCATGGGAGATCAGGATGGTGTCACGACGGTGGTGTATACTCTGGGCTGTGGCGTGGAAGAGGTGTGTGTTGTGGTATGAAGGTTTGTGAGATCGCCTGTGATGTTCCATCACCTGAGCGAGACGGAGAACTCCAGGTCGATCCTGGCCCGATATGGGTTTAGTTAAAGTCAGAGTACTAGTGTTTCACCAGATTTTGTTAGCTACCATTCCATTAGATGTAGTGATGAGGACTCGCCAGCTCGTACCCATACTGGAGTGTTAGATGGACACACTCCAGTCTTCAGGTCGATCTCACTTTTGCACTGTTATCGAGCCGTCATCGTTGGCTATGGGACCTGATGTGGTACACTGCTGTCAGAGCTGTAGCGCATATATCCTCCGCACTGAAATATGTGATTATCAATCTCAGATCTATGTTGTTGACAAACACGACAGTATTTAACTAGTAGTATTAGGCTCACCACTAACAGGTGTACAGCAGGTATGACTGTGTTTCTACTGTTGGACCTATCTGACTCACTTACAGTACAGGTGTGAGTCACCAGTCATAGTAGCTAATAGTGTCCGTGGTCTCACACACAAATTGGAGTGGTATGCGGGATGATGGGTTATCAATGTACATTTTACTTAGCCCATCAGTCAGATGTACTGGGGGTCCCAGTACAGTAAGAGACACATGTAGCTCAGCGCTCTCACTGTGTCCCTCAAACTGAACAGTGATGAGTAGATCACTGCCTGCAGTGAATTCATTACGACCAATCTCCCAGGATCTCCCCTGGAGTTGGTTCATTAGAGTGCACTCACAGTCACATTCAGTTTGTATGAGATGATACAACACACGAAGGAATGATTTAGACTATCAGAGCCACTTACTGACAGTGATCGTTGTTGTATTATATGCTAGAGGACTGTCCAGTATATATGACTATTAGTTGAGCGGTTCACTCGACGTGAGCAGTTGTAGTCGCCCCTATCTGCGGTCTTACACTGGATATGGCAAACTGTGGACTTGCATCCTTCGCTCATGGTTGACTCTGTTGTTTCATACCACCAGAGTGCTTCCAGAAATTGGGATCGTGAGGACAGTGGGTGGAGGGTGTCCAGAGGGAGGCTGGATTGTCGGAGGAGCAGCTGAGGGATGTGGGAGAACAGAGCCAGACACCAATATGATGGTACAGTCACTGTCCACATTGGACTGGGACTGAAGTAGAGAGGAGATGTTGTAAAATATCAATAGAAGGTGGTGGCTACTTGAACTAAGCCACATCTGTACTGTTACTGTTGTCCTGGTAACAGTTATGGATGGGAGTGTATTGAGCTGCAGGGTACTTGGCCCATGCGTAGTAGTAGCAGAGGATGAGTGTCAGAGTTTGTAGTGGTAGTAGTTTGAGTGGATAAGTAGTCAGTACTGCGTCTGTATCACTGCATTCTCTCCACACTGCGCTACTCATGGTCCACTGGACAGCCTGCTGGACGATACTACCGCAGATGATCTACAAACAGTCGACAGTACACGTTCACGGGGTCTCTTGGCAGCTGTTTGTGCTTCTTCACTCACTCTCCGATACTTAGTTCACATTCGGAGCTGGCAAGTCTGAGAGGACCAGGTGATAGAGAAAGCTTTGTGAAGAGATCAGACTGATTCCACTCAGATAATAGACACACGACGTAGATATCATGAATCTGTCCAGCATGTCATATATCAGATGGCAGTGGATAGTGCGTGACTGTATGGCTGATGGAGAGAAGTAGGTGAGATTCTGACAGTTGCGGTTGTGTTAGCTTCCACCATGTGGCATTGTGATGTGGTTAGGAGTTGAGATGAGAGAGAGAAGCGTGGTAGATGGACTGTGTACTCCCTACTGACAGCCGGGACCGCAGTAGTAGAGCTGTTGCAGCGCTATGCTAGCTTGCCTCTGGTCACTATGGGTGACTATCCACTGTCTTACACTACGTCGCATCCCATCAGTCAATTAGTGGAGAGGAAATAGATGCAGTCAGAGTTAGCTCTGTCCCTGCATACACTGTGCCAGAGTAACTTCTGGAGATCATCACCCTTGGCTTCGGTACTGGGTAGAGAGAGGAATAGTAAACATTCCAGCGGACACTTCAAATGTGCATCACTCACTGCTGACTGTAAGGTTTCTTGAAGCCTTCCGACAGAATTAATACCGACATTGCTGATCAGGACCTGGCCTGCAGGTATACATACTGGCATTCGATGCATACAGAGGATCAAAGTTGAGCTGTAGATAGAGCCGGTGGATGCATTGAGACATCATCCATTCTGGTCCAATCAATAAGAGCTCTATCCACCAGACCTTGGTACCACATCCACTGTACACAGCATAGTGTATGGTCTCGCCTGACAGCAACAGGGTCTACAACGTCTGGAGATAGTGTAACTGTTGGTTGGGGGAGAGCTGGAGAATAAAGATGGGTATAGATAATCTACACAGCAGCAGAGTTGAGAAACAGACTCACCCATCACGTCAATGGTAGTAGTGTCGGTTGACATGACAGTAGTCCCACCATTGATAGTTCCAGTGCAGGTGTAAGTAATACCATCATCTTCTTCGGCCAGAGGACTGATAGTGAGAATGGAGATGAATGGAGATTGCAGAGTAGAGGCAGGGATTATGGTGACTCTGTTGTCTGTGGTGTTGGTTGTCCACTGAATAGTGACACTGACATTGGTGTCCACCGAGGGAGGCAGAGTGGCAGTGCAGGAGAGTGTTAGGGAGGTTCCCTGGTGCAGTGGACCACTGGGAACACTCAGAGACACTTCTGGAGCTGGCACTGGAGGAAAATCGACACCATTATAGTACACATGTAGCTAGTGACATAATCCAACTCACAGCTGACATTGACTGGGATAGGGGGAGTGGGAATGGAAATATTTGCAGGTGGAGACTCCAGTGATCCCATACAGTGGTAGAGTCCAGCATGAGATGTGTAGAGAGGGGAGAAAGAGAGAGTGGAGATGGTAGTTGTACCATTCACCACAGTCTCAGTCACAGTGACACCATTTCCTGAGACCACAGGACCAGAGACGTTCATCCACACAGCAGAAGGAGTGTTAGTAAGTCCTGCAGTTGTCACATGGACTCTACATGTCAGAGTGGGACCAGGCTTCCCATCCAGCTAGTGCGCTGAACCAACATCAGTCACACTTGCCGTGACTGTGATAGGGTTTCAGGCACTGGATGAGTGTGGGAGAAAAATGTAAACACACACACTATTGTCCGACATTTACGTTACTTTCACTACCAATGAAAGATGTTCTCTGTAGCTATAAGCACCAACCACACCAGTGCAGGTATACTGCTGTCCATGTAGGTCGTCTGTTACTAAAGGAAATGTATACTCCAACACAAACAGATTGCCACTATTGCTACTGGCCAGCACAGACGACTCGTTCCTCCATTCAAAAGAAGATACTCTCACGTTGGATCTACAGCTGATGGTTCCTGACTGCCCCACAGTGAGACTATCCTCACCTGATACAGTGAGGCCTGTGTGATGGTAACGAAAATGAAGTGATAACTCACCAAGAGCCACTACCACATTAGGGTTAGAGCCCAGATCATTGGAGACTGTGCAGTTGTAGGTACCAGCAGCTCCTTCAGGACTGACTGTCAAGACATTGGAGTAGGTGGAAGTACTGCGGTCAATGACAGTCTGAGAAATTGTGTAATACGATGTAAGTGGTTCTCCGTCTTTGGTCCAGGAGACATTGGTGGCAGGGGAGCCAGTGGACACACATGTGAGGGTATGACTATCATTGCCCTCGTGGTAGGTGAGATTAATGATGGTGGGAGTCACTGTATGTGGAGGAAAAGAGAGAAAGTTTGAAGAACAAAACTCCAATGGCTCACCATTGAAGCCAGGTGGATACAGTCCCACATTGAGGGATATGTCTTTTCCACTGGAATCAGGAATGGTGCAGGTGTATACTCCTTGGGCTGAGGCTGGAAGAGGTCCTGGTGGTCGTTCTTGTGATGATCCATCAACTGATCGAAGACGGAGAACTCCAGGTCGACGAAATGGGTTAGTTAAAGTCAGAGTACTAGTAGTGCTATCAGGAGTTAGTATCGTTCCATCAGGTGTAGTGATGCTCCCCACTTCACCAATACTGGAGTTAGAGACACACTCCAGTCTCAGGTCGTCACTTGTACTGATTATCAGTCCATCGTTGGCTATGGGACCTGATGACACACTGCTGTCATATCTTAGCGCATATATCCCTGCACCTGAAATATGTGATTATTCAATCAGATTAGATGACAACCATGAAGTATTAGGCTCACCAACAACATTGACAGGGAAGGTATGACTGTTTCTACTGTTGGACCTTCCTGACTCACTTACAGTACATGTGTAGTCACCAGCATAGTAGGATAATAGTTCCGGTCCCCCCACCACAAGTGTGGAGTTAGCGGATGAGGTATCAATGTTACAGTCACTACCACAGCCAGATGTACTTGGGTTCCCAGTGAGAGACCACATGTAGCTCAGAGCTCCACTGTGTCCCTCAACTGAACAGTTTAGAGTCAGATTACTGCCTGCAGTGAACTGATTAGGACCCAATTCCCCAGGGACCTCCCCTGGAGCCGGTTCATAGAGTGCACTCACAGTCACATTCAGTTCTGTATGAGGAGATACAACACATTAAGGAATGATTTAGACCTAACAGAGCCACTTACTGACAGTGATCATTGTTGTACTATATGCTAGAGGACTGTCCAGTATATATGGGCTATTAGTGGAGTCAGTCACTCTGACTGAGCAGGTGTAGTCTCCACTATCTGCTGTCTCTACTCTGGATATGACCAACTGTGGACTAGTATCATTCCCAGCATTGACTCTGTTGTTTCTACCACCAGGAGTGCTCCAATTGGAGAGGACAGTGATAGAGGTGTCCACAGAGGGAGGCTGGATGGAGCAGCGGAGGGAGAGACCAGAGCCAGTCACCAATTTGGTTGGTGCAGTCACTGCCAGCATTGGTCCGGGGACTGAGGTAGAGAGGAGTTATGTAGATATCAGTAGCTCAATGAGAAAGGTAGCTTACTTCGAACATATACATCTGTACTGTTACCGTGGTTCCTGGTAACATTAATGGATGGAATGTTAATTGCAGCCTGGCAGGTGTACTTGGCCCCATGTGAGGTTCTCAGAGAATTGAATGTCAGAGTTCTTGCGGCAGTGGTTCCATTGACAGTAGTCTCAATCTGCGTGGCTCCACCATTACCTCCAGTCCACTCGACTATAAGGTGAACACCACGTGTGAGATGGTCTACTGTTATCGCAGTACAGGTCAACTGGAGGGAGTCCCCCACCATTCGAATAGTGGGATCAGAGGCATCCAACTCCACCACTGGAGCTGGGAGGTCTGAAGAGAACAAAGTAGGTTTATTAAAACACTCACAATGTGTCTGGTATGCTCACCTATTACATTGACATTGGTACTACTGGTATTAGTGGCTGACTGGCTTTGGTCTAGTCCAGTGACGGTCCAAGTACAGGTGAATGGACCATTGTCTTGGACAGCTAGAGGACTGATGGTGAGAACACTACTATAGCGATCACATGGGTGATTTGTGGTGCTAGATATTGAGAATCTAGTAGATGGTATACGTTCCTGACCACTCCATTTGATGAACACATTCTCATCATTGTTGACACTAGGGTCCAGAGTGGCAGTACACATGATACTGAGACCAGTACCAGCATATAGAGGACCACTACGATTGAGAGATATTGTCACATCAGGTGGAGGGACTGAAGAAAAAGAAATAAGTTAATGCCACACAATGCACAGATGCATGGCTTACTCTGCACGATAATCTCTGACACGCGTGACATCTGTGGTCCCTGGACAACATTGATATATTGTGTAATAGATACGAGGCTCAGACTACAAGTATAATTGCCAGTGTCAGAGGTATGGAAAGGGAAGAATATGAGGGAGGTTCCCTCAGTTGAGATCCTGTCGCCTTCAGTGGCGGTCACTTCTTCTCCACCGATTGTCCAAGTGGAGTACGCTTTAACAAGAAATGTAGGGTCCGGAGAATAGCTACATGTAAGGTTGCCACTACTTCCAGGAATAATAGTGGAGTTGGTGATGAACGGAATTGGTGTTGGAACTGAGGAAATGGAGACCAGCTAATATAAATTGGCATCAATACATTGCTACTTGCTTACCTTGGACAGTGATGACAGTATCAGCAGCGACAGATCCATCAAGAAAAGCGCTACAGGAGTAGACTCCAGCCTGAGATGTTGATATGCTACTGAGTGTGAGGTTACTCGAGGAACCTCCATCATTTTGTTTTGTAAATTCAGTTGCTCCAGGCACCTCCCACCGGAGTACTGGAGTACCAATTACTCCAGAGGCCAGTGAGATTGAGCAGGTGATAGTGACAGAGCCACCAGCCAGAATGGGGGAAGAGGGAGAAGAGGCGAGAGTGATGTTGACCCGCTCTGTGCGGAGAGAGATCTTTACACATAGTGAGTGACTCACAGCAGTTGATATTACCTATTGTGACATCAGGACCAGTAGTCACATTACTTGGTAGTGTACTGGAGTTAGCCACCATACTAATAGAATATGTTGTCCCTGCAGTTAGTCCTTTGATTACAGTACTGTTATTTGTATCTCCTGCCATCACTGATTTTCTCTCTTCTCCATCTATATTACTCTGGTAGTAGATGGTATACCCAGTGACACCAGGTCCTTCAGACTGTGTCTAGGTCACCAGTAGGCTGGTGGGTCCATTTTGAGACACACTGACATTAGAGGGTGGAGAAGGAGCTGGAGTGTGGGGAGAGGAAGAAGCATCATTTTTAAGCAGTCTTATAATTACAGATTAGACAAACCTGTTACAGTGAGCTCTGCTGAACTCTGACTAGGATGGTTGTTAGCCACAGTACATGTAAAGGTTCCTTCCCGTCTTCCCCTGACTAACAGAGTGTGGGTGTACCGTGCAGTCACTGGGTCATTCAACACAGTCTGGGTTCCTTGGGTGACAGTGGTGGAGTCTCTGGTCCAAGTGACGGTGGTAGCAGGTCCACCAGTGGAGATACAGGTGAGGGTGAACTGACTATCAGAGTCCAAAGTGAAAGTCACACCTCCAGACAGTGTAACAATTCCTGCACCAATATCACACTAGAAAAACACTTACAAATCCTTTCTATTATTACCTCCTCCACTGTTGTAAAGACCCACATTGACTGTCTCATATGTGGATGTACTATCCTGTATTACACTGTGATATATTCCCTCTGTTGGAGTTCCACTCCTTGTCCTTTTTAGTCTCACTACCATAGGACCTCTGTTTCTGGTAAATCCTGGAACATCAGTATGTTGTACTCTGTTCCTCTCTGGTGAAAACCAGTCTCCTCCAGAATGAAAACTACCAGATGGTGGAGGACGGTTAGTGATACACAGTAGAGCAGTGTCATCAGTGGAACCGATACCACTGATATTCAAAAGGCCATTATTAGGGATGACAGTTCCATTCAGACGGAGGAAGACATCTGTGTGGTTGTTACAAGCAGCTATGGGTAACCATGGGATCATGTAATAATAATTATACTCACCATCAGGAGTTTCAATAGTCTCGAGGTGACTGTATTCTCCAGTACCACAACTGGTCACTGCTGCCACTTGCACTGTGTATATAGTCTGTCTATTTAGTCCAGACACTGTGGTAATTCCTCCACTGGAGTCTCCTGACACCATCTGAACACTCCTGGCTTCCTCGCTGCTACCCTCCTCCCCATACCTCACCAAGTAGCCTGCTATCTCTCCATTCTGATGTCTGCACTCCACTGGTCCCCACTGGACTGCAATACTAGTGGAACTCTCAACCGTCACCACCACATCGGTAGGAGGGGCAGATGGAGCTGCGAGCATGGGAGAGAGCAGTAACGATCAGTTTAGAGAACAGAGGTGAGAGTGTTACGCTCTTTACAGTGGGACTAACCAGCAGTCATTGTAGAGGCTGTGATAGAGCGTTCTGCACTCCCTCCTCCAGTCAGTGTGTCTGCAGCACCTCTCCCGTCTCCTCCACTCAGAGTGGCAGTGACAGTAATAAAATACTCAGTTCCCTCCTCTAGACCATGCAGAGTGTGTGATGTCCCACTAGCAGATATACCACTTCTAGTGTCAGAGAAGCAGTCAGTGTTGTTAGTGTTGGAGTAGGAGATGTTGTATGAGGCAGCATTCATTCCGTTAGTCAGGGTCCAAGCTACAGTCACAGATGTAGCATTCGAAGATGAAACTGATACGGTCAAAAGTAGTTCTACAAAAAATAGATTTTCAAATGTTAATTACATACATCTGTAAACTCTTACGTCATGTCTTACCATCAGTCATTGCAGTAATGGGATCACTGTACTCTCCTGCACCAGCACTGTTGACTGCTGCTACTCCAATAGAGTAGGTAGTGGATGACATCAGACCAGAGATGGTGGCTTCATTCACAGTAGCTCCATTAACAGTCAACATCTGTGTGCTCCCACTCCCCTCCACCCCATACTGGACTGAGTATCCTGTGATGGCTCCATTCTGATGGATACACGGAACCTCCCCCCACACTACGGTGATGGTGGAAGAGGAAGTTTCTTCCACAATAAGACTAACAGGAGCAGCAGAGGGAACTAGAATGTAATGGAGAAATTATAATGAGTAGTTAACCCTCGGCGCGCATGCGCAGCGAGGGTTACAGTAGTTGGTTTGTCTGTCAGTGTGTGTGTATGTTTCTGTGTATCGACGCTTTTTCTGGCTACGAGGCGGCCCATTAGGGATACCTGCGGCTTCAGAACTACGCGAGCCTGAAAAATAAAAGGGCGATTTTCCTGAAACGACTGCGTTCGAGAGAGCGACTAGCTGGCACGGTCGTGGACCACGTTGCGTGGCCCAACCCATCAATAAGCGGTGCGCATGCGTATATTAGACGCGATCAACGCGGTATGCTGTCTCACCTGATCTCACCTCGACCTGATCCGCTTGTTCTGTTACCTTGCAGGCAAAAGAAGCCACAGCGAAGGGCGTGTATCGACTCCCGCATACTATCTACTACCGTAGCTAGCCCGTGTCAGACTCCGCGAGCTATATACTAGTGGGAGACCGCGAGGAAACGCCAATAGCCCAGCCCATCCGTTAGCAGTACCGCGCATGCGCAGTTCGCCGAGGGTTTGCACTTCATTGTTCGGCAGTGAAGGCAACAAGACCTTATAGGTGCAAACACTAAACAGGGCTCCAATAAGCAATGCCTCCTGCTCTCCACAAGAGAAAACGCACACACATTTTTGGGACACCATGTGAATACTTCTTTAGGTGCGCTTGCACAATTGCATAAGACTTACTAGCTTCTTAGTATCCACGAAGACTATTTCGCGGCTCGATTCTCCAACTGAATTGCTGGCCGACACAGAGATGGTATAGTTTGTGTCTGGTCTCAGATCTGACAAGGTGAGATTGTACATGGTGGAGCTAGTGCTGATGGCAGTTCTGTTCTCTACTGGATCATCGGAACACTTGTCATAGGACCACTCCAGCTGGTAGCTGGTCACCACCGAGCCACCGGGAACACTCCACGAGAGGGAGATGGAGGCGTCGGTTGATGGCCCACTGACGATGGCTGGCTTCCCAGGAACTGTAAGAAAAACTTTTTAAAAAGACCAACATCAACACTGTTACTTACCTAGAGGTACAGCAGTTTGAGCAGTAACAGGGTCACTGGAGAAGTGTAATGTGGCTACAATGGATATGGTGTAGGTGTCTCCATTGGTAAGACCAGTCAGAGTGTAGCTGTTGGTATCTCCACCACTGACAGTCTCACTACCACTGCTGCCTCCACTACTGTCGTACTGGATCCTGTAGCCACTGGCACTGACAGAAGGAGTCCATCCAACTGTGATACTGGTGGGACCGCCTTGGACTGCTGTCACATAAGTTGGGGGTGAAGCAACTGCACAGAAACAAGATCGCTCAATGGAAATTTTCATGAATTGGGAAAAGGTTAAGGTAAAATTCATCTGAATACGTGCCCACATACAGAACAAATTTTCGTACAACTTGAAACTTTTGTAACTAGACAATTCTCAGCGAGGGAAATTGTAATGTGGGGTATTTAGAATCTGTGAAAGGAAAGCAAGCACACCCAATTAGCCATTGTAAAGGACTTCACATGCAGTTGCAGCTTCTTACAAAATTCAGCATCTCCGCATCCCACTCAAACTACCAGACTGTTTTTCTCCCCTTTGAAATGGTATGGGCACAGGAGACCTAAAGGTCCCACTACGCAGTTTCCAATTCACCTTGTAGGGTGATACTAGCTGAAGCAGAGGATGGCTTGTTGTTAGCCACAGTACACTTGTATAGTCCTCCCAGTCTCCCAGTCACAGTCAGAGTGTGGGTGTACTGCGCAGTCACTGGGTCATTCAACACAGTCTGGGTTCCTTGGGTGACAGTGGTGGAGTCTCTGGTCCAAGTGACAGTGGTAGCAGGTCCACCAGTGGAGATATAGGTGAGGGTACCTTGGTCAGGGTCAAATGTCACTCCTCCAGATATTGAGATGTCTCCTGCAATGTATAGCTTAATTAGCCAACTTTAAAACTACCACTTAAAGAATAAAGATCCAACCAGCCAGTATTCAGACATGCACAGCTATATTATATCGTGCACTGAATAGTGCTAAACATTGAGATGGGTCAGTAAATTCCATCCTCTAACTTAGTGAAAAAGGGGGAGTTTTTGCTGGTATCCGTAGAATGTCCTAGTAGGCTACAGAGCAAATCACAGCTTTATGTGACAGTTTATACCTCCACTGGCAGTATACAGTCCCACATAGACTGGTGTGTCTCTCACTGAGCTGTCAGTATCATCATGGACAGCATTAGTTGAAATATCACAGCGATAGATGCCAGTTGGTGAGTTAGCATTGTTCCTACGACATAGTTCAACTCTCTGAGCTACACGTTGCTCATAGATATCATCAACACTATTAGAGAATAACAGTCTAACTCCATTAGGGAAATACCAGTCTCCACGATGATTACCCTGATGAGTACTACAACATGTGGTCAGGTCAGTGATACACTGAACACTGTCACTAGCACTGCCATCACTCCCCACTTGACTGATGTCCACATAGGAATGGTTGGCCAGAGTCTGGCTCATGAAGGAGACATAAGGAAAAGTCTGAGAGTGGACCTCCACCAGAGACCAGAGTAGGAACAATAAGTAACCCCTCATACTGACTCTGAAATAGGTTATAATCATTTCTAGTAATGGCGTCATTCTAGAGCAAATTCACATACTACTCTGAGAGTTATAGGAAAGAGCCTTAGTCATAGCTATTGATATACAACCGACATACTTAGATGTATTGCACCCTTAGCTGCAACCTTGTAGCTGAGCCCGACACAGACACGGACACACTTTGCAGTTTTAGAGCATAGGGAGAACTTTGTTAGACTTCACATGAGATCAATTATCACAGAGAGAAACATCCGATGCCAAAATAGAGAGAGACCCACTTGTCTGCTCTAGTTCTGAGACATGTGCAGATACCACGTCCCGTCCTGTTCCGGAGCGGAGTACTTAGTTATGGAGACCTGCCCGCGCATGCGTCGACGCGATCTGAACGCATGCGCACTGGTAATAAATCGCGCCAAAGTTAGTCCTACGGCACTATCAGCATCCTGCTAATAATAATGCACTTGAAAACCAGTCACTGGGCCCAGGATGAATGACATCATATATAGCCAGTGTCTTCCTCAGTTCCAGAGGTCAGTGGGAGAGGGATGGCGGGGAGGGGGGGGAGCAGGGTAAGAGTAAACGCAATCTGCCAGTCCTCTTCTCTCTCCCCTGCCCCCACCTCCCCATATACCTCATTGGTTGAGGTGTAAATATCAGGTCCTGATGACTCACTCCTGTAGAAAATTCGTAAAATTTTACGCTCACATTTGGTAAGGAACATACTTATTGCCAGCTCTCCTGACTAAAAACTTCCCACAGCAATTCTTGAGCACTGAAATGGCTATTATAACAGTGGTAATTGTGACAACTGTAATGAGGATAATTCTCACAACTCCTCCAATTATTGCTGCATCGTCATCATCATCAGTAGCCGAACTTAACTCTGTAGTAGTTGTGAGGATGCACAGAATGATCTCATATATGGTATGACATTATGTACCGATATGTGCAGAAGCACTGGAAGGCTTGTTGTTAGAAACTTAGCATACATACACTCCTAAAGCATGCCCAGTCAGAGTGTGTGTGTACTGTGCAGTCACTGGGTCATTCAACACAGTCTGGGTTCCTTGGGTGACAGTGGTGGAGTCTCCGGTCCAAGTGACAGTGGTAGCAGGTCCACCAGTGGAGATACAGGTAAGGGTGAACTGAGGACTGGCTCAACTGAGGTGTGAGTCCACAGCAGTCACTCTCACACCTCCAAGTATTGAAATATCACCTACACGGGGATTTGGCTATCGCAAAATACATGCATCTACTTCAGTTGGAGTTGGGAATCTATAATAATTATGGTTGTTTGATTATCTGCGGTCTACTCCATAGACAGCTATTGAGCACAGAGTTTTGGGCCTTTGCCTGTTTTTGCACTGAATTTTATTTGCAGCTGACTTAGATCCTTACCTGCTGAGCTGCCCTCGCAGCTATTATCATAGCTCAATGGTAGAAAGAGCACTCTGTCTGGACTACAGGCAGTCATATGCATGGGTTCGAGTCTCACCCACAGCATGAGCTCTTTAGTGGCGTTTCATTTATTAGCTATGCTTTTTTGTTTTGCTACACTTGATCTACTCGCTCATTCACTAGCCTCCACCATTAGCATACAGTCCCACGTAGACCCTCTTCCTCATAGCTGAGCTGATAGGGAAAGACTTGCCAGTTAGAAGAAAGAGACATAGGGAAAGCCCTGAGAGTGGACCTCCACCAGGGACCAGAGGAGACTCAGCTGTCAACAACATCGCATCACTTAGATAGTCTCAAACTGATATTGCACTTTACTCTGTGTATAGCGATTTTGAACGCACACCTGAAATGCTCATGATTTGTGTATTTGTTCGGATTTCCTATTCCTCCTCCATACATTTTTTATATTCGCGTATGATGTGCTCAATAGCCAGCAGCCTCGAGGATAATCGTAGATGATCTGGCTAGGGTGTCATGGCTAGTGGTAGGCACTGGGAGTGATTGGTTCTCCCATGCAGATGATGTGTGCTTCTATCAGAAGATGGATAAGTGGAGGAAGTTCAGTTTGACAAAGTGGTGATTATAATGATCAAGTGCAAAACAGCAAATTGACAAGCACACATCTGTGAATGTATCTAAACAACCTCAGAGGTAGTTATCTAAATCTAATCTATAATTATACTACTATCTAAAGACTATCTCTAACAAGTAAATGTAAGACCAAATTCAGCACGCATATATACTTTTCGACGCCACTTTCCAATAGTGATCAGAAAGAGTCACTGGTCTCCAGGAATGGCTCTGTTTCAGGGATGGGAGGGGGAGGGATGGGAGAGAGGGGCTGGCTGGGGACCGAGGCAGAGAATGAGGGAACCTCATACATCCCCTCCAGTTCAGCTGGAGGAGGGGGAGGGATGGGAGAGAGGGTCTGGCTGGAGGCCGAGGTAGAGAATGAGGGAACCTCATACATCCCCTCCAGTTCAGCTGGAAGAGGGGGAGGGAGGGGCTGGCTGGGGGCTGAGGCAGAGAATGAGGGAACCTCATACATCTCCTCCAGTTCAGCTGGAGGAGAGGGAGGGATGGGAGAGAGGGTCTGGCTGGAGGCCGAGGCAGAGAATGAGGGAACCTCATACATCCCCTCCAGTTCAGCTGGAAGAGGGGGAGGGAGGGGCTGGCTGGGGGCCGAGGCAGAGAATGAGGGAACCTCATACATCTCCTCCAGTTCAGCTGGAGGAGGTGGAGGTTCTCCGTGAGAGAAGTCCACCAGTTCATTTCCCTGCTCTCGTTCCACCTTCCCATATGCCGTGTTGGTTGAGGTGTGAATAACACCACTTTCAGTGACTGCTGACCTGCATTCAATTTGAACACGTCATGCTTCACACCACCAGTAATATTTTAGCTCTAAAACCAGCATTTTTACACAATAGCGCAGTGGGAAGAGCACATTCAAGTTCATGTGAAGGAGGGCCTCGGCAAATTAGCTAATGAAGCAGGGTCAGAGCCAATAGCAGCGATAGCAACATACAAACTGGTGTAGGAGTGAAGTAGTGAGTGGGTAATTAAGGAACCTCTTTATCCAGAGGACCACTAGGATGACGGCCACTACAATGATGGCCACCAACAGAGCTACCACGATTCCACCAATGATGGCTCCTGCATTACCACTACCTGTATAACAAACACAGAGAGAGATATAAAAATATATTCCGAGTGACTTTTTTAGAGGATTATCACTGGGACAGTGGTACATGAATAAAACCTTTCCGATGCATCAAACATGCCTACTTGTGTACCTGATGGTTCAGAAGTTTGCAGACGAGGAGCAGTCATTTCCTCTGAGGAAGTCAGCTGCCTGTTCCCTGTTCATCAGTGGCAGTGAAGACAGACACGTCATACCCGGTGCTGGGGTGAGGCCAGTCACAACCGTCGTATTCCCTCCACGGGACCCTCTCTCCCTCCCCCCTGCCTCTTCCTCGTCCCTCCAGAGGGGGAGTAGGAGACAAAGTAGTAGATGCTGACTCTCCTGGCCTCGACCAAACTCAGTCTGCCAAATGACACCATCATTGCTGTCCCGTGATCCGCTCCACTTCACATTGTGGGGAGGCACCTTGGGAACTGGGCAGTGGTGGTGGGGCAGAGGGTTTTAAATGTATTTAGAGAGCCACTAGAACACAATTCAATGCACCAAACATGAGTACAAATTTTTAGTGGCTTGTGCACAGAGTATGGTGACAGTGCCATAAAATAGGGTTGCTTTGCTGGCCATAATTGTAGGGTCATGTACCTCCTCCTCGGTCGAGAAGAAATGGATCTAGACTGCGGTCCACAGCCCTCGCGTGTTGCGCAGCCACCAGAGTGTAGAGCATACGGAGTCTCTTTCTCTGTGGAATATATTGGTACCAATACAGCTACATACCGTGGTAGAGTTCTGTCTAACCCAGAGACTTCACAGTGTGATGTCGCAGTGTTCCCGGCAGACTCTCGAGGGTAGCCTTCGACCTTCTGTTCTTCCTCCCAGGCCCAGCCTCTATATACCGTCTCTACCAACACACATGTAGCGCAGTTTGAGAATATTTCAGCAGAGTCGCACCAGCTAATGGTGACTGCATCAGGAGTGTCTGACAATGAATTTGTCTAATTTCTCGGGTACTGTGAAAGAATGATGACAATTGTATGTGAGTTAACAATAACATGCTCACCATTGCCACTGACGTCACGTTCTTACTGCTACAGTAGTTCGATATTCTGGCCCTCAGCTATATTGATACACACACTGCAGGTGAAGGTCCTGGTTCCAGAGGAAAGCTGGAGACTTTTTGTAATGTTTGTCCTGTCTTATGGCAGACTATAGTCCACCATCACCCATCAGTGTCACTGTGTGGGGGTTCAGCAAACTATGGTGCGCCAGCCAGGCAGGAGATTGCGCCAGCCTGTTGCCCGAAGTCCACACCCAGACATTCCTGGGTCCTGAGCCAGCGGAGGAGCTGAGGGTAATCCTGACAGTGGGCTTTGGAAGACCTACACCAAGAGAGAGAGAGAGGACATGTGTTCTGACTGGCACCTCTCAGTCAGACCTTGAACAATGACATCAGTTGTCTCATAGCCGAACCTCCATAATATTTATTCCACGCGTTGGCTGGACTCTTCCGTTCTGCAAGTATACGTCCATTGTCCTCCAGAAGTGGCTCTGAATATTAGAGTGTGATTCTGTCTTAACTTCTTTGTTTCTGTCTCGATATGTTGGACATGGTGCTCTATTGTCCACGTGTTGAGGTAGCACCATTACTGTCATAGTGATGTCGGAGTATCCACAGCACTTCTCACCTCCACAGTACATGTATTGAACTTCGTCCCATGTATGGGGTATATAGTCTTTCACAACAGAGTGGATTGTTGGAGCTGGAACTTAGATTAGAAAGGTGACGTAATGTATGAGTGTTTGTAATACCCACATGCATGGCTACTCTGAACTATGAGACGAGTGTTGCATTGCACTCTCAGATATATCCAGAGAAGGTATTGAGATAGACTCTGCAGGTATATGCCTCCATCTGACTGTCTTTAGCAGAGAAATGAGAGGGTCTTGTTAGCGGAGACCAGGTCCCCAGATGGACTCAGCCACTCACAGATGGGGAGTCACCAGTTGAGGGGTGCTGTGAAGTTACATTCCGTCGAGAAGGTTTGCCAGCTTCAGACACAATCTTAGCTCTGTAATTTGGTGCACGAGGCTCTGGAGAACAGAAGATATTATGAAGGTGGAGTAACAATAAAGACTGACTTACTTCTACAGTGACGTTGACTGAGGCTAGTAGCCCTATTGCTGGCTAGTACTCCTCACCATCAGTGGGGAAGACACTAGCAGTACATGTATAGATGCAGAATCTGAGGGTCATGGACTAATAGCAAAGGTACTAGTGACTCCAGTCTAGAGTATTGGCGCCGAGAGATGTGGTGGATGTTGATCACTCAGTACATTTTGGAATCCTGGTCCAGGTGATATTCACATAAAACAGAGTGTTGACGGTAAGCATCGACAGAGATGGAGCAGATGCATGTCTAGCTGTGTTTCCTCGTAGTACGTCTCATCCACCAGCATTAGTCCCAACTGACACCATGGGTGCTGGGAGCTGAGAGATAGAGCGGGGTCGTGGAGTGAGATGGGTGTAATGTAGACTACGGATCACTAGCGACATTAATATCCAGACCGGAATAGCACTGAGTTAACCCCCACTGAGTCTACGAGTACCTCTCCCAGTACAGATGTAATCTCCCTGTCAGAGGTGTTCAGAGGGACCGAGATGAGTTTCCCAGTGGTGCCACTATTGCTGACATCTCGGCCATATTCATCTCTCCACTGGTGTGGTCCAGATGATGGAGATGTACTGGACCCCACCTCCTCTCGTCTAAGTGTGCCACACCCGAGTATAGTCCAGCCTGCAGTGGGCACCCTTCCGCCAACCAACCTCACTGCTGGAGGCTCAGGGGCTGTGGAGAGAGGTTGGCTGGACATGGAGGCGTATACACTCAACCAGTGCGGGGTAAGCTGACACTGACCTTAACTTTCTATACTCTCTCCTACACCAACCCCGAGCTCTGAGTGCCAGTTATGAATTCTGCATCCTTCACTTCAACCAGCGCAACGTAGTTTCTTGAGTCAGTTTTCAGTTTTTACTAGAGGGTTTGAACATGAAATTGCTTCTCATAGGTTGCCAATGATAGAGGTCTTCAACGCCTCAGTGGGTGCGTGATACGGACCGCCGCATCATAGCAATCACATGACACCCTGGTCCAGGTAGTGGAGACAGATAGGGGGTTTACACTAGGTTCCAAGGTCCCCCAACCCACACGAGGGGAAGAATGTTCGGAATACAGGGTGCCCATTTGGTTCCGAGTGAATGTCACATCAGGTGTTGGGACTGATGGAGGAGGACGGAGAGAGAGAAAGATGGAGTGTGTTGAAAACAGGAAGATAAACAACTTATCACTGTGTATTCTCCACAGTGGAGGCAGGCAGTCAGTTACGGCGGGTAACCCCGGCCAAGGAGTGACATGGCGAAGTACAGTTGTAGCGCCGCCATCTGACGTTCTCAGAGGAGAGACGGTCTGATGTAATGAACTATGATTCTCTATACCGAGTGGAATTTGAGGTTAGGGAACACAATGTTCATAGATTCAGCGAGGATCTATCACCAGAAAAGGCACCACTTCAGACTGAACAGGAAAGGGGTGTTTTGTAGTCTCGCCCCACTGCCTGATGTGGGTCTCCGGTGTGAAAAATGATGGACACACTGGAGCAGGAAGAGCTGAAAATAGGGAATAGTATGTAATTGATAGGTACAGGATTAACGAAGTAACACA